CTCTCTCTCTCTCTCTCTCTCTCTCTCTCTCTCTCTCTCGCGTCGATCTCGTCGATCTCGTCCTCTTACACCCAACCTTACACCCGGAGCGACTTCCTGATCGGAGTGTGAGGGGGCCTGGAAGTACGAAAAGGGGTGTGCCAAGGATTTTTGGGAAAGTGGGGGTGGAGTCTCAGGTCGGAACTGAAATCTCATGTGGCAAGTTCGAGAGATAGGAATGCAAGAGGATAGGCATGGGTCGAAGCCTGTTCCTAGGGTTCTGAGCGTGGGTCTATCACCTTTGCGTGTTTCGTCGTCTGGGTCGGACTCGTGCTGTCTGACCACTTGTTGGCGTCGTGCGTCGCTGGTTTCAGAATCCGATGCGGCAGGCCTTAGCCGAAGGATATGCGCCCGTCGTTCTTCCTCTGAGCGAGTTCGCCGGATAAAACCGGAGGCTCGATACTCCGGTCTTGCAAACACTCTGAGCACGGGGGTTGGGGTCAACACGGAGCAATTGTGCGCCAGGGGATGCTGGTCAGCGAATGGACTCGGAAGGGCAGTATGCGGTGGTAGGGAGGGAAGCCGGTTTCTAGAATAACTACTCCCGGAGTCCCGGTTCCGCGACAAGGTGACACGTGTATGAGCTGGGGAATTCCGGGTGGTGGGGAATGCGCTCTCTAGCTCGGTCGATATGCCACTCACAGATGCGCTCGTTTCCCACCGGGTAAGGAAATTCCGGAAGTTCTCTCCTCGGTCGTGCAAACAAACACACGTGCTCCCAATACTCTCAAAATTTCGGATCAGTCAAACACTCACGGTCAGTAATACGAAAAGGGAGTTCAATATTTATTTTGTGGGGTGAGGTGGAAACTTAGTCATTCGACAAGTTGGAGCGAACATAGGCACTGCAGACACGCGTGTAGGCCACATTCTTTTGATCGGGCTTACACGTGCGTGCACAAGGCCTGCCTTTCGGTCCGATGGGCAATGACCAATGACCCACGTCTCGTACGCGTTGGGCCGTTAACCGAGGGTGGATAGTCCTATGGCGAGACAGACATCTAATCATCAAGCATGCTTATTTAATTTCTACACACAAATACCCATCATTCACGCGTCCAGTTTCATGCATACATAATCAAAAAAGAAGGTGACAATCGTTCATGCATTAAGATCGTACAAAATTTGATCATAGGCAATTAACCAATCAATGGGGTCCATTCATATAGAGGGAAGAACAGAGTGGGAGAAGCAGTCATGCATCAATCAATAGAGACAAACAAAGAAAAGATTCGAGATGCCGATCGAAAGAAACAAAGGCGACTTACGCCAGATACCAAAATTGCTCAGAAGGAAAGAAGAAGAATCAAAATGGCTTAGGGGGGGGGAAGAAGAAGCTCATCGCACACCTCTCGTCTCTCTCTCTCTCTCTCTCTCTCTCTCTCTCTCTCTCTCTCTCTCTCTCTCTCTCTCT